TGTAGCTAAAATATATTTTATATTTGTAAAGATAATATCTATGAATATACACATATCATATCCATACACAGATACACATGATAACCAATCTGAAAAGCCTTTCATCTAAAATTTTCTCAACTTGAGTTCTTTTTATATAAATAAACATATAAATAAAGTTTCCAACTGCGTAATATGAAAAGGCTAGGCATATCTGTTCCATATTCTGCCAAAAAGAATTAAGCCCCTCACTGTCTCTCTTTATCTGATCTTCTAAAACTGTTTCTGATTTGGTATCATACATTTCTAATTAAATACTATTTTTAAAATAACTATCATTTACCATAGCCACCTCAACTTTTCCGCTTTTGGTCCTCTGAGTTGTTCAGAGAAATTTGTATTTCCCTAGAGATTAACTGAGGAAAAAAGCAAAGTCAACAAGGTCTCAAAATTTTTATATTTCTTTCAAATAATATTCTATGCTGAAATAAGTTTAGCATTTAAGATCAATGCTAATTAAAGAATGTAAATTAAAACATATAGTAGAGAGATTAACCAAAACACTTACATACACTGTGAGAGTTCTGATGCCAATACAATCAGATCACTCTACACTTCAACTTTTCCAATTGCCTACCATAGTTTGTCACAACTCAATATGCACAGCAGATTTCCAAGCTCCAGATTGAACCAAAGTATGACCAGGACCCTTTTTAAGACAGTCTTCAGAATTGTCTGTTATTTGTGAATGACATTATTAATCTGATAATATCAGATATTGACCAATGCTAGCTATTATTAATATCTACCAATTCAATTTTTTCTTCCTTCTTTTTGTCCCTCCCTCCTACTAACAGTAACACAAAAAGAGTTGGAGGCCTTAGTAATTGTGACAAAACTCATTTATGTCAACAACTTCAAAAACACAATATGAATCAAACCAATAAAGGTGACAGAAAAAAACACAATATGGAACTAACGTATTTTTTAAAGGTTACAGAAGCGATATCCTGAAGTTTCCACAAATGAAGCTTCCACATGAATGAGGAGGCCTCCATCTTGAAATAGTAAAATAAAGTTTAACAATCTCAATTTTTCAGAACAAGAAATGATAGGGCTTCCCATTGAAGCACAAGAGAAAGAAGAGACAATTATAGCTATGGGTAGCACACATGCTGAAAGTAGAGGAGCCCTATTTACTATGAGGCTCAGGCAAATTCAAGCTCTCTGGGCTTTCCTATGCAAGAAAACAAATAATAAATTTGAAATGAAAAGAATAAACCCAAATGTATTAATACTTATTCTGTAGCTTGATATACTTCATTAAAATTTTTTTAATTCAAAGATTAAGCATTTCTATATAGGTATGGCATGGGAAAATTACTCAGACTGTTGTCTCTTGGATAGGTAGTACACAAAAGGGTGCAAAGGTACACTATTACAACTAATAATTCCAACTAATAATTCAATCATGTAGTCAGACATCCCTAAAACTTGTCCATGTTAATAAGATTACCACTATAATAGTTTATGGGACAGTGTTTTTCCCAGTTTCTTTAAAATAAACTGTGCAAAAGATTAAGTGATATTCTTACCTTGTCATAATTGTTCACACTTTTATGTCCTAGGAGAAAGGGCTTTTTACTACCTAAGTACAGAATTGAACAAGTGTGAATTTTAATCTGATAACTGTACGTAGTTATAACCGTCACATCTAAATGGATATTAAAACACCTTTCAAGTTATTAAATATTTTCACTGAAAACTGTCTCTGTGTTCTGGTATAGCCTCAGAAGCCATTTCCCCAAGGTTTTCCAGAATAGCAGTATCTTTTTCCTTGGTAGTTTTATATACTGAAACCTATAGTTGCAAAAATAGTATTAAGAGGAGGGTAGCCAAATTCTCATCAAAACCCCTATCCATTTGCTTCTGGTAAGGATAACACATACACAGGGATACCAAATTCACTTAGGCATATACACAGTGATATAAACAATCATACAGTATTTTAGTTGTAAAAATAAATTACTGGCACTTAAGCAAATTGTATGAAAATAATACTATACATTAAAAGGCATCCTCTCCCTTTCAGTTAGCTGAAAAATAAAATATCCATTGCTAAATCTATTAAGGAGAGAATTTGGCTTAAAATAGCAGTAGACGCAAATGTATGGTTTTAGGGAGGCTTACAGATTTCAGAAAAGCCTCAGAAATCCTTGGAGTCTAAAAGCAGTGACAATTTCCTGCTTTCTTGCATCAATGAAGCAGAGAGCATGAGGTACACAATCAAGTGAAATAAGTTTTTTAATCCTTAGTTTTCTCACCTAAAAAGTGGGGATAATATGTGTGCCTATATCTCAAAAGGTTATTGTTAGGATTAAAATAAACAATTCAACTAAAGAACTTTATACAGTGTCAGGTACACATTAAGCCATAATACCTACTCCTACTAATACTACTACTTCTAGATCCTTTGATAGTCTACACAGAGAGCTTAAAGGGCCAATTAAAAATTTATCTACCATCCTCCAGAATGGGGGTAGGTAAACTACAGCTTGTGGGACAAATGAGTCCTGCCACCTGTTTTTGTTTGGTGTGCCAACTAAGGATGAATTTTACATTTTTAAATGATTGAAAAAAATCAAAAGAATGACATTTTGTGTCAGATGAAAATTATATGAAATTCAAATTTAAGTGTCCATAAAGTTTTATTGGAAAACAGCCACACTCATTCATTTATGAGTTTCTACAGCTGATTTTGCACTACAATGGCAGAACTGAGTGGCTACAACAAAACTCACATGGCCTCCAAAGCCAAAAATATTTATTATCTGTTCCTTTACAGAAGGTTTGCCAACCCTGGTTCAGAATCTAGCATATAGCAACTATGTAGGAATTAAAAAGTTAATACATGGATGTTTTCATTTCCTAAACCACAGTTCACTTGACAGATATTTAGATAGTTTTTCAAAAGTAACTGTCTAAGTTTGTAAACATTAAAAACTCTGTTTAAGGCAATTCCTTCCCATACTCCCATTCTCATATTAATTACTACATTTCCAATTACCAGAGAAGTTACAAACAAAATAACTTTCAACATTACTACTTTTAAGTTCTAATACCACTATTGATATTTAATAATAGAAAGAATGAGAAAGGGCCCCCTTACCACAAAACATATATTTACTTGAACAAGTATAAAATAAGAGCCAAAATCAATGGTAAAGTTAAATGCCAAAGAAAATAGAAAACTAAGTCACATCTAATGTCACTGTTCTTCCAAGCTAACTCATCATCTTTGGGGAAAAAGAAAGGTTGACATAAATTAAGATATTTGGAACTGTAGGATGCAATGTGGGAACAATACAATTATATTACAAGAAATAAATGAAAGTGAAAATAAGAGAGAATACGCTTAAACTAATATACAAGTAGAAAATAAAAGGAGGAAAACGAGAAATCATAACAGGCGAATCAAATACAATAGAGAGCACTGATAGGAAGTACAAAGCAAAGGAAAAAGTATGATTCCAATATGATCAGAAGGAAAAGACAATCTGTCAAATTACTCTTTTCCTCTCCTTCCTTCCCAAAAGGGCTTATTTGATTTTGAGATAATATTCCAGGAAAATATTCCAAGATTTCATTAAGTATGTATGAAGAATCTGCTACACAGATAAATGATATTTGGAATATTAGAGGAGCAAAAGAAACAAACTGTATTTGGAAAACTTACATACCCAGATAGGGGAGGTAAACCTACAGAAAAGACTAAATTACTAAGAAAACTACAAAGCAAGACACCACCAGGTAGATAATAATTCTGTCAGCAGAAAGAAAGGAAGGCAAAAGAATTCATATCCCTATTTATGAAGGAGGATTGTAGCTTGCAGTTTGAAGAAAAATGTAGAGTTTGAAATATCAGGACGTGAAACTGGGAAAGGAATCAAATAGAGACGAGTGAGAAAACAGGCAAGTAGCATTAATGAATTTATGATTTAGCAAGTAGCTAAAATCATAAATGCATCCTACCTAGAATACTCATGCTATTTTCTATAGTAATCCAGTAGCAGAGATAACAAGCAGTTAGACAGACTTAAATACAGATACGTCAAAGTTGATGGAGTAAAAATTCAAAATGGTTAAAACTTGTCAGTATATCACTGGGGAGACAATGAAATTATTGACAACAAATTCCTGTCTGTTAAAAGGAAAATGAATCTAGAATGAAGCTGCCAAGTTAGGAAAGTAGGCAAAAATTGAGACTAGTCTAATTACAGTAAAAAAATAATAATAATGTATGTTCTGCCTGGTGGTCAGGGAGAAAATTTTTAAAATAATAACAATATGTGAATACTCAAGAAGCACATAAATTAGAGGAATGTATTTCCGTGGCATTTCAATGAAGCATTCCCGTGATTGGATAACTATGGATATACAGACAATAGAATTAAAATGTGAAGTCTAAATACATTTTCTATTCTTAAAACACGGAAAAAGAATACTCCCAACGGATTATCATCATATAAAGATTACAGTAGAGAACAAAATCCATGATAAACTTGGACTCTTGAGAACATTATTTCAAGATTCAAGATTCCAAAAAGAAATATTCAAAGGATTTAGAAATTTTAAAAATACCTAAAATGTTCCTTAAACACTGCACAAATATACACACTGAAATTTACATAAGACAATGATGCTGTTCTACATTCAGTAGGCCACACACATTAAACTGACTTACGTCAAAATATACAATTTCAGATTTGGTTGACTCATAGTTCAAATAGAATTAGTTGTATCATATCAACAAAGTTGAACTGGCATGGATTGACAAGGAAATTGCCTCATTATATAGATCTTTTATTCATTAAGTTGAGACTTTGCTTGTGAAAACTATTTGCTAGCCTGGTAATAGCTTAAGAAAGAAAACAGCTCAGGCTTCATTTGTCTCCACAAATAGTTTTAACTATTCATATGCCTTTTTGCAAAAGGCTATCTGATATAATTTAAGTACTTACGAATATCATCTTCATGATAAATGACAGAGTGAAATGGCAGAGTTCGGTCTTTAATATATCTCTCTGCTGGCTCAACATAAAATGTACCACCACGAGTCTGGATGAATCCTTCAAATCTTCCATCAATAACAGACCCATGGCTAAAACTTCTTTCTTCACCTATTAAAGAAAGCAACAAATTCTTGAAAATTTAATTTGCACATGAATGTTAAATTCATTCTCCTTTAAAAAGCCATTCTTTTTTATATATGTGTATATATAAATATATAAAAAAAATCCTGAATACAAACTTACTGGGGAAATTAATTTTCACATAAAATATATCAAGCTGAATTTGAGATGTGAACAGCAATTAGTATTTAGGTAAAACATGTATCACCACTAATAACAACAATGTAAAATAGATTATCAGTTTTGATAATCTTATTCCTAGCACCTAGCAGTGCCTGGCATGCATACAGTAGTCATCAATAAGTAATTGTTAAACTAACTTAAACTTAAAAAGAAGCAGGCAGAACTACTGATAAAATATGTACTACCAGAATAAAGACATAAGTATCTTTTGAAAATTTTGCTTTAATTACAATAAGAAAAAAAGCTCCTTTCTCTCCTGTTACGTTGTACATGAGTCTTTTGACTTCCATGCTACATTTAGGTTTCATAAATACATTTTTAAATAGAAAAGTGTCAAATATTTCACAAGTAATTTGAACAAAAGTACATCCACAATCCTTTTTAAAATACTGGACAAAGAATTGTAATACTGTCCCATCAATTACACTTCTTTAGTGAAAGAAAACAACAAAGAAAAAGGAACCTTTGGTTCTTAACATAATCACAACGTAAAGCTGAGCACCAAAATCAAATGACATGAAGGAGTGGGAAGGAGAGGGAGGGGACTTTAAATCTTAAATTTGACCATTAAAATCCTCTCATTAAAATAAAAATCAGGCTTTCCATAATTTCTGAGTTGTAGAATAATATTAATTAGCTGGCTTTGAGTTAATCATGGAATAAAGCTAAGAGCCCAAAACACCAGTATTTTAAAGGACATCATTTTTATGTGCAGACTCATTTATAGTCTTGTACTTTTCTTAATCATCACCTAGTAAAAAAGGGCAGGGCAGGGACTACTAAATTATTTTTCCAGGAAGATAAATGATCAAGAAAATTATAGAACACTATAATCTAACACATAAAACCTACACTGATGGAAAAACACTCTCCTTTGGTTACAGAATTGTAAGAGCACAAAAAGCTAAAAGAATTTAGTAATTCAGTTTCACCTACAAGTGAGAAATTTTAAGTACAGAAATGTCTCATTTATCTGGCATAATCAAAAAATAAGAAACATTTTTCATGTTATGATTTTGAGAAATCTAATATGTAGAAATGAAATTTCAAACAGTTTAACTTTGCCCTAATAACTGAGAATCTTGAGTATTTATTATGTACAGAGTACATTAACACAATGACATTTTGCCCCTTTCCGATACCCCTAAGAAGACTTTGAGTTTTTTTTAGCTTTTTTATGACTACTATAAATAGTTTTCCTCACACTAGGTCAGATGTAACTTCCTAATTGGGGTAAGTGTGCCACCCATGCCCCCCAATACACCTTTTTATTTTTTTAGAGAGAAGGTCTCGCTCTGTCTCCCAGGCTGGAATGCAGTGGCACAAACAGCTCACTGCAACCTCAAAGCCCTGGCTGCAGCAATTCTCTCCAGCTCAGCCTTCCAAGTAGCTAGGACTATAGGCATGAGCAACCATGCCTGGCTAAGTTTTAAATATTTTTATACAGACATGGTCTTCCTATGTTGCCCAGGTTGTTCTTGAACTCCTGGACTCAAGTGATCCTGCCACATTGGCCTCCCAAAGTACTAGGATTACAAGCATGAGCTACTGTGCCCAGCCCAAATACATCTTTTAAATTTGATGTAGTAAGAGAAGTTTGTTAAAACTGTGAACAAAAGCAAACAGATGCTGAAGAAGGAAGGTCTTGGGAGGATTTCCCTACAAGTGACTCTGTCACATTATTTTTGGCTGTTAAGATAATCTTTACAGTTTCCTTTTAGATTTTTCCTATTTTCTTATAAAACACAGAAAAGTTACTGCTAGTTTCTTGGGTGGAAAATCAGAAAATTATAGAAGTCATTAAAATTTTTTGAAAACTCTAACAGATTGGAAGTATTGAGAGAGTCAAAATTTTAGACCTTTCAGAAGCCAGATATTCCATAATTCACTATCAAACATACTTGTTACATGCAAAGATAAGTCCAAAGATGACTTCATTTTTCAAAGACCATTATTACCCTTTGTGATTAAATCAACCTCTAGATTTATGCCGCTTTTCTGAAATATTTGCTTACATTTCAGAATATCTATTTGTGTAGAAAAAAATTAAAAGAGTTCTATTAAGGTTCAACTTACCATAAATATGTCCAGTGTAAATATGAGAGGTATCATAATCAAGTACTTTATTTGATGTTTCTACTTTAAATTCATCACTGAAAAGGGAAGTGTCCCTCTTCATTCGTAGGTTGAAATGTCTGTAAAATGGAATGGGAAGGGGAAAAAAACTGAAATTAAAAGGATCCAAATTTTAAACAATTATTTTTTCTAAAAAAAAAGTCTGCAAAATATGGACCATGTCACACAATTTGTCTATTTGGGAAATATACTGAACAAGATTTTCTTATAAAGACTCTGCTCTAAAAGTCAACCTAGTAGCTGTGGTATGATTCTAAATTATATACAATTAAACACTAACTGTCTGGGATATTAAAAAAATAAATGCCTACAGGCTGATTCCTACATGGTAAAACAAATCAAACAGAAACTGAGCTACTTGAAGATAAAAAGAGAAAAACAAGTTTCCTGGCCCAATTACTGTTATTCACCACTATCTGTCTTCTCTGTCTAGTAATTCTGTAGCTTTGCCATTTTCTCCTACCTTCCACAACTCAAATAAGAAAATACATAGGAAAGAGGCATCTATATTAGATATTTAACATCTCTTCTCTGAAAGGCAAGTGTGCATGCTTTCTTTCACAGACACACACACATGGACAACCTTTCAAATCCTTAATTATTCCCTGGGGCTTCTAATTCTTGCAGATTTCAGTTTGGGAACCCCAAAAGAGCAGGATAATGGCTGAAATAATAGTCATTCTAACTGTCTTCTATAAGGAAGAAGAGGAAAAGACTAAAATATTGAAGTAAAATTAACTGAAGATATGACAACAATCTAGAGTTTAGAATCAAACTTAGAATCAAATCTTAAACCTAAAATATACCAGCTCAGGATTCCTGTCCGTGAAATGAAGGTAATAAGTTCTATCTATCTTACAGAATTATTTAAATATTAGAGATACTATTTGTAAAGTCATTAACATAGTACCTGGCACATAGGAGATATATAATAAATGGCAACAAATCAGCTATTGTTACTAAATTCCTAAAACTTTATCGAATCTTTTACAATTGCTATAGAAGTCTGCACATGATGGAATTTCTACTCAATGTTTTTCATGACAAATATAACAAAAGTATTAAGTTCAACTATTTATTTTTTATAAATATATTTTGATGAGTACTGTAAGAATCTTATTCTTTAAAATACTTGTTATAAATTTGAAATACATTCAGTGGTATGGAGAAACACACAATCACTATACACATTTCTGACATGAATAAATTAAATTAGTTCAATCTCTATTGTAGGAAATCAAAATTATAAATGCACATTGCCTTTCATATAGGAATTCCACTTCTAGAAATTTATCTTAAGCATACTTGAACATAAGCAAGATTACTTCCATACTACAAGACTGTGGTATAATAAAAAATATAAAGTCCTTCCTCAGTATCCATAGGGGATTGGATCCAGGACCCCTCAAAGATACCAAAATCCACCAATGTTCAAGTCCCTTATATAAAATGGTGTAGTATTTGTATATAACCTACACACATTCTCCCACATACTTTAAATCAGTGGTCCCCAACTTTTGTGGCACCAGGGACAGGTTTCACAGAAGACAATTTTTCCGTGGACCAGGGATGCGGGTGGGGGGATGCTTTTGAAATGATTCAAGTGCATTACAAGTGCAATCAAACCTCTCTGCTAATGATAATCTGTATTTGCAGCTGGTCCCCAGCACTAGTATCATTGCCTCAGCTTTACCTCAGATCATCAGGCATTAGATTCTCATAAGGAGTGTGCAACCTAGATCCCTCACATGCACAGTTTACAGTAGGGTTCAGCCTCTTACAAGACTCTAATGCCGCCGCTGATATAACAGGAGGTGGAGCTTATGCAGTGATGTGAGTGATGGGGAGCAGCTGTAAATACAGACGAAGCTTCCTTTGCCCACTTGCTCGCTGCTCACCTCCTGCTGTGCAGCCCCGGTCTGTGGCCTGGGGATTGGGGACTGCAGCTTTAAATCATCTCTAGATTACTTATAATACCTGATACAATGTAAATACTATGTAAATAGTTGTTATACTATATTGTATAGAAAATAATGATAAGGAAAAAAAGCTTATACATATTGAGTATAGATACAACCATCCTAATTTTTTTCTGAATATTTTCAATCCAAGGTTGGTTGAACCCACAGATGCAGAATTCGTATATAAAGAGGGGCAACTATATCTGGCTTTTGTTCCCAGTTCCTGACACAGAGCTCCTAAAACCTTTGGAATATCCTGAGTGACAGGTCTGTCTTCACTCCTATTCATGAGTCTGTTTCACACATACATGAGTTTATGCTAATGAGATGACTTAGGGTGGAGCTCCTAGATAGCCTCACGATGGGTACACATACAACTGCAGAAATCTGAATAAGCTCTATGCATTGTACCAACATTAATCTTAGTTTTGACATGGTACTATAGTTGTGTAAGTTGTTGACTTTGGGACAGACTGGTGGAAGGATGCCCAAGACATCCCTGTATGTTTTTTTTGCAACCTTCTGTGAATCTGCAATTATTTTAAAAGTAAGAGTTTTCTTAAAAAAAATCCAGACAATATTACAAAAATCAAAATGCTAACTATCCAATTAAAAAATCTCTAGATATAAAGAGGCAAGAAATGTGACCCAAAATATGAGGGCTGTCCAGAAAGTATCTAGCCATAGGTACAATGGATATGTGGATAAAATGGCTATATACTTTCCAGACATACCTCGTAAAAAGAAAAAAGAAAAAAAAAAAATCAGTCAGAAAAGAAAAAAAAATAGAAATGAGTGATAATGGAATTAGCAGATAAAGACTTTATTGTCTATATAGTATAAATATGTACAAGAATTAAAGGAAAAGCATGAGCAGAAAACAGAAGCTGCAGAAAGAAACAAACTTCGAAAGTTAAAAAACATAATTTATGAAATTTATTTAATTAAAAAAAAAATCACTGGGGAAGGAGCCAAGATGGTGGACGAGAAAAGCCACCAGTCAGAGTGTCTCTGCAAAAAAGACAGATTTTAGAAGAAAGTGAAAAAAATAAACTAGCAGAAAAACATAGATCGGGTGAGGGTCGGAAGGAAGGGTGCCTGAAACTACAGGAGACTCCACGGGAAGACGTTGCGGAGGAGAACTAGAAGGAGAATTCTCCCCAAGAGGCTTGGAGACCAGCGACAAGGGTAGGTGGAGCGCTTAACTTCCCCCTCCCTTGCATCTCGGACTGTTGGTGGGCTCCTCAGTGGTTGGAGAGACCTGCTGACACCAGCCCAGAGACGGCTGCCGCCAGTGTGAGCGGTAGCCTCCTGCGGACACGGCACCAGGCTCCCAGCTCCCTCGGGGCACATCCCCAGGGGCAGACCCAAGCCTATCGGCAGACGCTATATTACTCCATTCTCTCCTTCCCCTTCCCTACCCATGGGTGCCCAGAGAGACAATTTAGCCATCACACAGAGGCATCTCCAAGGAACGGGACCTTTCCCTTTGGGGCCCTACAGCCGACTGAGGGGTACTCAGACTGCGAGCTCCCTACCCACCAGCCCTCCCAGATGCTGCTTGCCTGGGGACTCCAGGAGAGCCGGGCAAATCCCGAGGTGGAGTGAAATCGATCTAGCTTGGGCGCCCTGTAGGTGATTCGAGACCAGCATCCCTCCCCCTGGCAGGGTCAGGGACTGATCTCCAGGGCCCAGGGGACAGGCCTGTAGACCACACCCCCTACACCCACGTCAGGATTGCACTGCCCCGGGGCACAGAAGGGAGATCTGTGAAAGAGCCTACTGAGGAGTGTATGCCTTCAGGGGCAGATCAGCCTGCCTGAGCGACGACCCTCCTCCCAAAAGAGGGCTGTGCACCTAGCTCAGGCTGCGATCCGGGGGCAGGGAACCTCCCGGCCCACATCACAGCAAGGGGAGATTCATCGGCCTGAGGTCCTGCTTGCTGGCAGAGGCCTGGGAGAGGCCACGGAGAGGGGGAGGGTGGAAGGGAGCCAGACCTGCTCCAGAGTGGGGTCTTGGACAGCCCCACCCCCCAAGCCCAGACTTTCAGCTGAGTGGAGCGATTTCAGCCCCTCCCGGCAGCTTTGCACAGAAGCAAAGAGCAGACCTTTGACTGCTGCTAACAGCATCTGTGGAGCCTGAGGGCAGGCTTACCCAACCCAGCCCCACCTAGACTCACTCCCAGACCTGCCCCCACTGAGGTGGAGAATAAGGACACACCTGGAAGTCCCAGAGACCAACCCACCACCCGAAGCACAAGAGGGCCTCTCCAGAGGAACAAGAGCTGGCTACAGGACCCAAAAACAGCACTGCAGCTCGCTCCTCCCAGCAAGTGCCACCTACTGACAGGGAGGTCATTCTGCACACCCTTTTACTGCATCTACTGATTCATCATAAAGGGTGTGGTCGAATCTTACCCACAAACACCACCTAC